CGAAATCGTACCCAAGACCCCAGGGTTCATGGGAACTTTTACTCGAACAAAAATATCTCATAAAACGGGCAAGTTTCAAGTCTGTAGGAGGATGCATCGGTTAGATGGTCACCCTTCAACATGCCTTGGAACATTGGCATATTTACCGTCCCTCAGAATTTGCTATATCTCTTGACACGAAGGTGGCATTCGATTCAGCTGACTGAGAAATTCTGTGACAATTTTTGACTGCGAAAAGAGTACTAAGCAAGAACATTACTCTGATTATGGTTTTCTATAAGAACTTGTGCAGCCATGTAGGGTCTTATAGAGAGTTATCACGTGAACTGACGACAACTAGTGGTGTCCGTCAGGGATGCCCACTGACTCGCTTACCACTCAACTTTGTTGTAGACGTGGTAATGGGTGTAACCCTAGGATTGACCCACTCAAAGTAGAACACCTGGTCGGTTTGGAGTAGGTAAGCGATACTTTTCTGTTAGGTGAAGGCAGAGACAAAATTCAGGGTTTTGTGAACGCGTTGTACCGAAATCTGAGTATGTTTGGTATGCGTTTTTCACATTTCTAATCTAAAATGATTCTTCGCTACTGGTTGGTAACTAATTTCAGTTTAAGGATAGGTAGTAACGTGGTGGGATGCGTGTACAACTTTCCTAACTTGGAAGGGTTGCACCAACATGAATGAGTCGGTTGTTAGCTGTGAGAAGTAGACTTTGAAAGTGAATGTGGAGAAGTTACATGATTCTGACTACCAAGTTTGTCGTGGCGTTCCTAACTTATGGTGAAGTCATAATGCAAAAAATGGTGAGGTTAGACGGGAGTAATAGATCGGGAAGACAAGTCAGTCGGTGAAGTTGTTAAGCTTCACCAAATGGAGTGGCTGTGACATGTATTGGGCATACCAATACATTGTCTACCTCGACTTATAATGTTAAACTATGCAGGATTTGATTGAAATAAAAAACTTAAAAGTAGTCAGACAGAGATTTGGAGTCTTTTTCTATCAACATGAGTCATGTAGATAACTGAAGTATCCCTGGCACGGATCCTCGGGACTATAAGAATCAAGTCTTGAAAATTTTCCGTGATATGACTGAAGATCAGTCACAGTGGCGTGAATGTAGGCACTCTTTTTCATCTTCAGTGTCTTGAAAATCTTGTTAACTTTAATCGGTTTATTAATCTTACCTTCTATCTCACATATTTATTTAGCTTAAGGTCACACTTTTCACCCATTTCTTGCATGTTACCGCGAAGTGTTGTAATTTGAACGGATGCAACTGTATTCGGAACTCGATGTAAATTTTGTCACTGTCAGATGATTTGCTTATCTTCACAAGTACTCAGCATCCAATCTATGGTTTGCTCACAACATTTTACGAAGCCGATGGCCACCAAATACCCAAGGTTATCGTTAATTCTTCTCTTTAAATTACCGTAATTTACAGCCATAACATGACGGATAACACTGAGTTCGCCTTCTTGACTATAATTTTGTTATCATGAACTCTGTAAGCCGCAAGTATGTGTGATTTCAACATGGTTGCACGTCAAAACATCCAAACATGAAGTTTACAAAACATGTAATGAGCCAGCAGTAACTGTTTTATTGTGTTCTTTTTATATTTTTGTGTGCAGACATTTAGAACCCCTTTTTTCTAAAATGCATTTTAGTATTAACGCGACAGCAACCGTGTGTCTGTTTATACACTGGACAATGACCCACGTTTGTTTGTGACTGCTGAAATCTTCATAAGTGGAAAGAGGTTTGAACATGTGAATAACTGGTTCGAAGTCAGGTATTTGAACCACTGAACCTCAGTACCGATCGACATGGTTGTTAGAAATTAGTCTGATATTTCTAGGATTGACTTCGTCAATCCTTAAGAGGATTTCAGCTACTACTAAATAACTCCTTGAGGTTCACTTCTTGATAAGTTTCATCGCTACACTTGATTGATTCTTTGAAACCGATTCAGTTTTCACATCGAATCAGTAAATTGGCATTCATCCATGGATTATAATTTTTGTCAATGTAGGCTAAAAGATAAACAAAGAGTTCCTGTGTGCTGACAAAATTCCATCGATCATTTCTACAATCCGATCACCAAGCTAGGAAGCTCATCATCACATCGCACTCTTGTGGATATTTGTTAGTCGGTCACCAATCACGACTGGATGAAACGAGATTATTTGCTCTCCGGTGACCAATCAAAGCATATATTCCTCTCCTACAGCAGGTCGATCGAGTGCAGAATAACTCAGTGGTAACCTCGCTCAATACAACACTGGGTGACATGGATTCGATACTTGCAGGGGACATGAGTCCCATCGAGATTACAGACGTGCCTTGCTGACGAGTGTCAACTAGCAGGAAACCGAGGTTAAGCAGAACTTCCTGCCGATTGCCTCTAACCAACTTACTTTCAGAGCTCATTGTAGTGTGAATGATATATATACGTACGTGAGTGCGCAGTGCTGATCGACAAAAAGTTAATCATATTCAGAAAAATCCCCGATATACATTTGTCTTAATCATACGTTACAATATTAAATCATTCTTTTATTACACGCGAACTGCATCTACATACACTTGTTTGGTATTCGGTACATGATTGTAGATTTTTGTTTCAATGTTTACTTGACACTTTACTTCAGAAGAATAAAAATGTAATAAATCGAATTATATTCTTCCATTTGATACGTGTTACTTCATAATTATCTAAGTCCCTTATTTGTTATTATTTTTACTCTCATATAAAAATACCATATTAGTAGATTAATTTTGTCTAACTCTATATTTTCAGCAGTTGTGTTATAACCTTGTAGTGACTGCTTGGTATAACCTGAATTATATAATATATATATATATATATATATATATATATATATATATATATATATATATTTGCGGATGCTTGAACAGTAACCTTCAGATTCTATCCATTGTTGGTTGCCCATTTCCTGCGTAAATAGGGAAGCTGGTAGGATAACAGAAGCTGTTTTGCAACGTCAAGCATATATACAAAATACAAGGGTTTATATATATTTACACTGGTCTTTAGTATTTCCAGGCTCTTCTAGATTTGAATATCCTATTGAGTTTCGTCTCTTCAACCAATCCGATATTTACACGTTGATTCGTATGCCGCCTCTCGAAACTCCAATGCAATATGATTGGTTGTAGAAAACTTCAGAGATTTAGTGCTTTTTATGAAGATCATGGCAATCTTATTCTACACTAGAACATTTTGTATAGATGACCAGGGTGACAACGGACGACTACACGTCAGCTGCACTGTATCAGCTGAGCTAATATTGTTTGACAATCAAGCATGCCTTGACTTCAGTTTCAAGAGTGGAAAAAGCATAATTATGACTATATGCAAATGAGACATAATTCTATCATTAAAGCTCTTTGTATACATCTGTGTAAATGCGTGTGGGGGGGACTTCGTAGATAAGTGCATGCGAGTAGGCGAATAAGTAATTGCAATTTGGCATATGCTTACCGGCTTGTAACAAAAAATTGATTGTATGGTTCAGAAATCTGTAAAATGGTGCAATTTTTTAGTGTATTAGCAACTGTGTTAAGATTCACAAATCCATGTATCACTTCAGTTTGTTATCTTTTAATGTAGTTGATAAATTCTTCCTTTGAAATATCTGAATGGCTTTGACGTCAGCTAGACGGATATGGAAATCAGCTCTTTTGTATTAATTTGTGGCCTTACTAATTCCCAACAGTCATTTGAAAGTTAAATGTGTGTCATTTTCATGCTCTCTACGGAGACATCAGTTCCCTCATGGTTTCAGGTATAACTTACTGAAGACTGCCGACAAGCACAAAGCTTGGAATGAGTGCATACTGTCAATTACCTCGAGACATCTAATATGAATTAAAACCTTTCCAGAAAACTCTTCAGTATACTACTCTGAACAGTCGACGCAATTTGTAACGGGGTTTTAGTATCTACCATTGTGAAAGGAATAAATATTTTACAGCACTATATTTTGGCATCTTCTAGAGATTCCTTATACCAAATAGTCACTCATAATTTTTACATAGATTGTAATAAAATCCGGACTAATTGTTATGTAATCATGGTTCATTATGTGAATACCCTAACCCAATAAGCTGATATCTACTTAACTCACCTGAAAGACGGAGGTGATTACTAAACTTGCCCGTCTTTTCACATACAATCCGTTCTTAATACTTCTATTTATTCCTTTAGAGTTAAAGTGGAATACGCAATTTCAGAATCGACATTCAAACGTGATATTTTGAAAATAAAAGGGTCATATTGTTGAAAACGTTGACCATTCGATGGAAATTTCTCATGACTGTCATATCCTGGATACTGGGTAGCAGAGGAATCTAGTGTGCGCATTTCATCCTATTTGTTACTCTTCAGCTGAATGTACCTGCCTCCTTCCTAATGAATGATTTTGTTCTCACCAGGGCTGGAACCCAGGACCGATCGCTCTGAATACCAGAGCAGTATCCACTAGGCCATTCCATGTGTGACAGGTATGGGAGGAAACACACATCCTGAACTCCACTGTTAGCCATTATCCATCACCGGTGTCAAAAATTAAGATTACTGGCAATATTGAAGGATAAGCATAGGAGTTTAAGTGCCAATAGTGGCTGGTCAATTCTCTACAATCAACAACAATGATTTACAAGCTATATATAATCAAAATTACTACTATTTCGTAGAAAATAGTATGTTTGAAACTTAAGTAGATCGCGAATTTATCATACAACGAGGACTTTTACACTCGAGGAGGTGAAATATGTCAATTTGCAGGGTAAATCTTAAATATACTTTGTAGGTATTCAATGCACTCAGGCAAATGTATCAAATTACGTTTATTTCCATCTTTCTCATAGTACTACTATACCCTATGATTAACTATGTAATATGATCAGTTCTAGTTAATGTATAGAAACCAAATACTTGTATATAAATTATAAGCGAATAAAATTTACCATTCTTAGTGTTTATTATTTCAAAATAAAGTTGAATGTATCGTGAAGATTTCTTCTATTTTCGTCTACTATGGAGTTCTATTTATCTGTACACTTCCACACCCATAGGTATTAGGTGTCAGTTTCCGACAGTTTGTGCAAATAATCTAACTACTCGTCTACCAGCTATCTGTTGTCCAACACCTCCAAGTGAGTCTTTGACTTTTCTGTTTAGATTAACTCAGTGTGATGATTATTTATATTTGACTTATATCTAGTTACCGACTATGACTGGTACAAGCTTAGGGTACCACAAGAAATGAGATAACTATTTTTCAGTAGTTGTACTAACTGTAGTTTTCATGATAGTTGATGAAAAGTTTCCTTCTTTTTGTTGTTGAGACAGTTTGATTATAACTCACAAACTATAGTTGTGAAAATGTCACTATTTGATCATCAAGGTTAGGTTGTTTTTAGCGACAATGAGCATACTCAACTCGACTTTTTGAAATAGTTTATGTCTGAGAGACTGATTTATACGTTCCAAAAATGTTTGCCAAAAAGTAAGGGAAGTTAAGTCACCGTAAGGTTGTTAGGCGAGCGAGAGACAAACAATTTCATCATTATTGCCTTATACATAAGTCAGCTTACTGAATAGGGTCATTTAAGTAGTCTAAATAACAGTCAGTCGTGTCACTTTACCTTTCTAACACTTTTCATTTTAACTTAAGATGAAAAGCTGGATTAAGAAATTAGTATGATGAAGTATAAATAATTGTATATTCTTCATCCACTCGACAGGGGATAAAAACAGTCGGTAATTGAAAGTGACAAGAAAATTAGATTGAAGATTGGTCATTTTAGTTCTGCATCAAATGGAATCCTTTCAAAGTCAAACAATACTGTTATTTAAATTTGCTAAAATGCAGAAGTGTTCAGCTGATAGGACTACTTAGCTGTATGCTTTTTATGTTGTTTCTCGTGGTACTGAATAGCAGGGTGTCGGAAGAAGTCGGAATGCACTCAGCAAGCAGGTACACATCTATACAGTAGCTATTGAGCCATACCTATTGTGTGAAGGCGAATGATAGTATCTGGCAGTCCATACCTCAGTAGGCGGAGCGGAGCTCAAATCCATGGCCCACTGGTTGGCAGTAGAATGTTTAAGTCAGTGAACCACACCAAGACGTATATACGGTCATTTAAGCACACCGTATACAATCATAATTATTATTTCATTATATAGGTAAGTTTTTATATAATCCCAGCGTGTTTAGAAAACCAAAAACAAAACTATGGCCTGGATGTTTATAATAATTATTATTTGTTGACAGTTATTATTCTCCGTTGTTATACTGGGTCGAATTGATCGACTTCTGTTAGCATATGAGCTTCTATGAATATGCCTCAATATCACCAGAATACTTATTGTTACAATTGACTTGATCGCGAGCAGCGGGGGAATCCAGGACGTAAGTTTCCTGGATGCCAGCATGCCTCAGTGACCTAGTGAATAACGCTTTAGCGTTTGAAGCGATGGTTACGAGCTTCGATTTGCACTGAAGTGCAGCTACTTCCAGCTGACGAGCCACAAATAGGTCGAAACTACAGAGTCAATCATAACAACAGGCAGCATCAAAATTACACTTCCGTATTTCTAACATTAAAAACAGCGCAGTATGACATCATATAACTTTGCCTAATGACCACATTGATTTTGGTTTTACTGGGTTGACTCTAGTAAATGATTACAATCTTGGATTCAATATGGAAAACCAATTGGCAACTAATTCTTCGGCAGAAAAAGACAGTTTTGCATCAAAACGAGTAGAAGAAAGTTGAAAATAAGTAATAAAAAACAACTTCAAACAACTCGAATGTTTCGTGAACATGTAGGTGAAAGCAAAACTGAAATCATTCAAGCAGTTGGAAATACTAAGGTTAACATGACAGTTAAACGGCTTATGATCGTCAATATAAGTAGACAATAGGCAGAGTGATAGGATCTATTCATGTGTTAGCTTCTTCCACGTTATTTACCATACGGAGTTTAGCTTACGATTTTATTATTCTTAATCCTATAACTGCCTGGTGTGATTATGGTCAATCAATACTACTGTATAACAGTGGGGACTCTACCAATTAAATTGTAAAAATACCTACAATGGCTAGCAGTGCCACATGGTTTCTTAGCTAAACATTCTCTAATGAGCTTTCGATTAAGAAAGTATACGACTACTTACAAAAGCCGCAGTGAAATCAATTATTCTCTTATAAAAACAAAATGAATTACTGTTCAGTAATAACGTACGTCGAGATGAATTTCCCGTAGTTTTAATGAAAAGTCATAATCTTTGCGGTTACCTAAGTTATGCATGATGACAAATAGTTACCAACAAAGTTGGATGATGGTTACGTTTTATCCCGAATCGACAGATGTAAGAAAATACAGACCATTGATAGCAATTTGCTAGACACGAGATCTAATGTTCCTGGACTCAATCCCACATGAATTCCTGGATGCGCACTGCTGAGGAGTTCAGTGTTAGGATAAAACAGCTGTCTGGTGCTCCGAGGTATTAAATAACTCATCATTTGCTATCACTTCGCGATGAATACTGCCCTGAACTCAATCAATCTCCACAAACCTCCAAATCGAACTCATGACAGTATTAAGTTGCCATCTCCGCTATTACTGAATCTACAATACTTATAATTCGTCTTCTGCATATAACTATGAAATCAATGGAGTGGTTGCCAGGACATAAAAATTTCAAATTTGGTTGTAGAACTGTTGAAGGGGAGGTATCATACTACTAGTCACCTAAACAGAACACATTATCAGTTTCTGGATGCAGTTTATCGATAACACTGATTACCTGACACCACATACTGTAAAAAAGATAAATAGCCTCCTGTCAGTTTCTTTTCATACATTGGATAAAAGATGAGTAAGACACTTTCAGAAATGTGTTGATGGCGGTGATGCAGATACATTCATCCCTGCTTTTTTTAGACTTGAGAATCTAATTATTCTACACATTTTATTCCTCGTCTCTGAATGTTATATCTATATTTATCGCCTACTTGATTATCGCTGTTGATATAATCATTTGATAGCTTCGTTTTTCCTCCACCGGCCGATGTATAAAGCTGGTTAATTTAGAATATGATTATTTCCTATTTTTTGTCAGTCTGTCTGTCTGTCCATCTTTCTACCTGTTCGTCTCTCTATCTGTTGTGTAGAATATGTTAATACTGGGTGATGACTAAAGGTGAAATAAAAATCTGAGCAGTATTAGGATTCGGACAAGCTAGCTTTAGTTTACCGGCCAACTGCTCAACCAAGTGAGGTACCCAGCATCAATACAAATCTACCAAACCACAGGTGTATTACGTAGTCAAACAGAGAGAATGTGTCAGACAATCACTGTTGCACCTCATAGGTGTTTAACTCTAGTATTTATGTGCTATAACGCTAATATATATAGTAGGTTAAATTTTGTGAAAAGAGATTCAAATCTTCATTATGAACAGTTAGATACGCTTAAAGTCATGAAGACTTATTACAAAGGAATATATTCCATAATCACATTGCCTTTAGAATAGAAGCATGCTATTCAGAACTAAGATACAACCAGTATGCAGGCGATGAAATTAACAATAATTTAGGACAGGATGAAAAAGATGAAATGAAAGAATCAAATTCTTTCCCACCATACAGATTTTTCTTAACTGGGACACATGTTACTAAAAGGTTCTAGTATATACAATTCACTAGTTTACTGTTCAGCAAAATTCAGATAACGGTTTCATTAAAACGTATATCTTGACTGGTAAATTTCTCTTATCTTTCAGTATTTTGACTCATAGTTAGTTGAGTTAAAGAAAGGATAGGGTCATGAGTCTCACACTAGGACGAAATAGCTATCCAGTACTCCAAGGTTTTCAATGGTTCCCCAGCTGATCTCAGTCCGTGATGAATTCTACCTCGAAATATATAAACATTTTGAATGACTGAAAAATACATCCCAAACTTGTGATTTCGATAAAACAAATCTGTTTGTTTCGTTAAATGTGACATTGTTAAAATTAACAGATGCATCTCTTCCTTGTGGTGGTCCAGGAAGAGGTTTATGTCAAGACATCAATGCTTTTCCTGAAGATCTTGATCTTATTCCGTTAAACGGCAAATTTCTTCTGGATGATCGTTTGGCATGGCCTACTCGGTTCTTTGAAGCAGCTTGTGCTTGTCAGGTAGGTCAAATGTTCTGTTCTGAAGTAACTGTGATAAAATTGCATGCATATTTCCGTTTTCTTAAATAGACCAAGTTTAGAAATGATTACCACCTCACTTTCTACGACGTCAAAAATTAATTGGGAAAGTTCAGGCAGAACTTTAGGAATTCCGTGTAAAAATTTTTACCTCAAAGTAAGAAACTGCAATCAGTAGAAGTAACTGACCAAAGACCGTTTGTATCTGAGATAAGCACAACTAACTGAGAATGAAAGTAATGCATAAGATATTTAGATCAATCTTTTGTAAGTAGGCTTGCTTTTTACTCAAGTTCAAATAAAAACAAGACAGTTCCTTGTTTTCAAGTTCATATCACAGACTGGCGTCAGTAGGAGAACCATTGAAGACTTGGAAGCACTGGATAGCTGGTCCTTTCTAAAATGGGACTATTCAGCGATGCACTTTCATGATCCCGCCAGGGACCGAGTCGAAAACCTTCAAGTTCTGCGGCCATGTTACCACGTCAACATGTAGACACCGGGTGGAAATCCAGTGATCTATATTTCCTACCCCTGTCAGTTCACAGTATAAAACAACCTCCATCCAGTGGCACTGGTGAGTACCTGTTCTCATGTTTGACTTGGTTGGCCGCAACGGTTATGACTTCCCATTGGATTTTGGGAACCACTTCTGGAAGCTTGTCACCAAAGAGCACTAGGTTGATTCAGTTTTGATGTTTATGGGGATTTTACTGATTTCACACTGGCGTTCATCATGAACTGGCATCAGTTTGGGGAACATTGGGAACCTGGGAGCACTAAGCTGCTGTTTCGTCCTAGTATGGAACTCCTTAGCAATGCACAGCCATGACTCCCCCAGAGATCTAACTGAAGACCTTCGGGTTCCGTGGCCATCACGTTACCATTGAGCTACTTGGTTGGAATCTAGTGGTCCACATTTTCCTACCTCTGCCTTTTGGCAATATGGTGCAACTTCCACTCAGTGCCGTTGTTGAGTAATTAATTATCTTCATGTTCGGCTTAGTCACAACTTCAAGAATCCCATCTCAAAGCAAGTCACTAAAGAGTACTAAGTAGTAATTCACTTTGAGGGTTTGTGGGATTCATAACCTGAAATCAGATTGAAAGCAATGAATAAATCCCCACAAACCTCAAAAGTGAACCACAGTTCTTTGCGTTGGTAAACTGACCATTTTATTATGGTTCTTACCATACTTTGGACTTACTTGAACAAGTACCAAAAGTACATAGCTTCTGAAAGCTTGTCTTAAAAGCTTAACGGTCTTTAACTTCACAGCTGGATAAAGTAGATTAGAATCTTTGAAATAATAGGAGTTCTCTCAACGTTGCAGATACTCATTAGTGATGAATGTCAACAAGTTCGAAACCTAAGTTAACAAAGGTTCTCTCCTGTCATACTCCTAGCATTCAACACAAAATATATAGTGTCTTCTGTTTTCTTACTACATCGCTTAATGGTCACCAATCAATCTGATTGGTGGACTTCCGTCAGTATTTAAAACTTGACAGCTATGCTAGTTACCAAGTAGAAAACAATCTGTATTGATTTATTCCCTCTTCCAACGCATCATTGATACTTTTGTTAGAAACCTGGTTGGTATCAAGATAAGACTGTTCAAGTTAACCCAAATATTCAACTAAAGAATCCACTAAACTATATTGTCGAAAAAACTACTGCAAATCGATTGAGGTTGAAATCTAGCTTGGCTGCTCTAATTATTTCATGACCAATTTGCCTAAGGATGCTCCATTTAGAATATCCTATTACTCCTATAGATTTAGGAGTAAGAAGGGAACAACTGCGAGTCTATGTGCCTGATTTACCTGATTATTTAACTGCAGTGATATTAGATTCGAGAAAACAATCATGATTCGATGTTAGATATATGGAAAACTGAGGAAGATCCGTAGGAGATAAAGAACTTGAAATCTTTTGAAACCTTGTTTTCTCTGAGAGAATGAACCTCCTGTCTGCAAGTGATACAGTCAGTTATGTGATTCCCTTAGTACATTATAACTCAGGTGCCTGTTAACGACAAAAATGTAGTACCATATCTTTGATAGTTCACGTTGTTATTAGCGTTTTGTGAGTCAATTCTAAACTGCATCAAAGCATTTAAAAAACCAGGTAGTTAAAGTTTGGCAGCGATAAAGCTTAAATGAAATATGGATATAAGAAGTATATCAACATTTAGAATCAACCGGCTTGCAGGAATAGTTCTTTGATCAATCTACTTTCTTCAATTTTACCTTCTTGCTCGACAGACATCCTTCCCTACAGTTAATTATCCAGTATATTTAAAGCGAATGATTCTTCTAAACAAACTTGTCTTACCTTTCAAGGACATTTCTAACCACTACAGGCAAATATTCAGTTCATTTTATAGATAGTATCATTACCATTGGCATGGAGTGGTGATTACAGATGAAATGAAAACCCACGTTGTACCAGGATTTGTACCAGTGACCTCCAAGTTACCGGCCTTATGCTGTGCTCACTGAACTGCAAGACCTAGCTACTTACATTATCCTAACTTCAGTCAGCCAAGATTTTGCTCAAGTTTCATGAATTTGATTGCTTGGTGTGTAACTATTGGCTCATCGTGATCCCAGTAGGTGCCCAGGCAGGTCTTCTCACACTAATCTAAAATGAGCTGGGTTAGACAGGGTGATTTCATTTCACTTCCGATCACCACTCAGTATCAGTAGTTTTAGTCTGCTAAACCACAGTTTTCCCTCAAGGTGCACTAGTAAATTTGGATATTTTACGGTCAGTTTTAGTTTCTGAGTGTCATACAGATAGTCTTGTTGGAGAAAGCATTTCAAAACAAAAGTTCTTCCTTTCTTAGAAGTTCCTTAGACCTAATATCATTGATTGAGACAAGGCCAATCGAAACCGAAAGACCAAGGAGGACTTGGTAACTGTTTCTCTTTTGGGTGAGACCTCCCTGGCAAAATTCAAGACATTCTGAGATAGCCACAGTTTGATGCACTGGTGTTATTGATATGAATTTCTCATTGGATGCGAAATGAAAACCTGTGCTCTAGGTTCGAATCCTGCCGCAATCAAGGTGTTTATTTCACCTTCAGTCATCATCCAGAATCAATAAATTCTAGATCATTATATCATACATGTCACTCCCGAAACCTTGGTCCATATGTAGGAAGAAGAACTTATTGGAATTCAGCTGATTTGTGGTATAGCAGTTCAGTAGTTATCTTTAAGATTTATATTTTGAAACAGACTTAAAATACCCTGGTCATTTGATAGTTGTCTCACTAATCTAAATAAAGTTTTATTGATGAACTGAATCCGCTGAAGAATTCGTTAAAGGTTCCAAGTGCTTCTTCCATCTGAGTTACTTCCGTACAAAAAACCACTCTCAGCCAGTCAGTATCAAAATGGTAATTGGCATTATTGCTTAAAGAACTTACCACATTTCATATCTCTAGACCAAGGTAAAAAGCACCAACATGAAAAGTGAAGAAAGTAGTCAGAAGTAGCAGAAATTTGGTGAAAAAGGATAAGGCTGAATGTGGTGGTAATGGAACTCAGAATGAATATTAAGATTAGAGTAATGTGTATGTGCATCTGTGGCACTGAAACTGAATCTGAATCATATGACCTAGAGTTTCCGACCGTTAGTTTTGGTTATCATTCGGAAATCAAACAAGATGTCTACATTTTCGCACAAAGCTCAGATCAACAGCTTGAGATTCCATGGGCTGGTACTATTCTTTTGTCTGGTCACCCCTGACTTTGTTCTAGCGTAAACCTCATTTGGCTAAAAATTCTCAACAGAGTAGACGATGATTGAGCACACATAACACATGTCCCAGCCACTCGAGTAAATGACTGCTTACAGCCTCAACAAGTAACCTACCTCTCCCACCTAAAACTTTACACTTGACTTCTGATTTACTAACTTGATGGTTAAATATCACTGTAACGCAGTTTGTCTTCAAGATTTCCTTTCTTAAGCATTCAGAGATTACCAACCAAATTTACATTACTTCTACAAAGTGAACTGTATCAAATTTGACTTCGCTTCCACTTATTCTTTAAAAATCTTCATAGGATAACATTATTTTGCCATATCTCTGCACAATATTCCAATTTTGTCCATCCTCTTTTATTTCAGGGAAATTTTCAAGGTTATGCATGTCATCGCTGTAAAGATGGTTGGACTGGTGTCAGTTGCCGTACACGTAAATCTGTACGTGTACGCCGTAATGTATTACAAATGACTTTACTAGAACAAAGAGCATTTCGTGATCGAATTATTTTAGCTAAACGCACACCAATGACTGAATGGTTAGTCATAAATATCAGTGATAGTTCGAATGGTGATCCAGTGGAGCAAGATAATTTACAGCTTATCCAAGCACCATCTATTTATGATTATTTTGTATTTATACACCTGTATGCATCTAGAAGTAGTCTGATTGTTGATGATACAAATGGTCCACGGTGTAGTCCAAATGAACATATACTAGATTTTGCACACAAAGTAAGTTAACAAAGACAATGTAAGCATATCTGCTATAAATAGTAATATGAAATGATCGAAAAGTTTTTTAGCTCATGTTGAGGATGATGGTGGTTCGGTGTTCCCTAAGCTTTGGTATTTTGTCGTGAGCGGTTCACCATCAAGCTTAGTGGCATCTTCATCAGTAAATTCATGCCAAAGCTCAAGGAAGACTGAACCATCATCATAGTAATATGAGTTAGTCACTGAGTCAGTGCATATGACAATCTGATGCTAAATTACGTAGATTTATAGATGTATTATCGATCCGGTTGTAGTAATCTAGGCAACTTCACACCTTACTGTACATTTTTTTAGTCATGATTAGTTGAAGATAATTGGTTGAGAACTCTAGATTAAATTTACTGCATTTATTGGAGCTCATCAACACACAGTTCATGAAATTCTGGGAAAATGTTATTTGAGAATCACTATCATGCTAATCATAGTGAAAGTACTCACTGACAAATCTCACCCAGAAATGAAATTTAAAATATTTTACACTTTATTGTCAATGACGGATTAATTTATGTGATTAAATCTTGTCCAACGCTGTTATAGTTCAAAATATCTTTGTGTTTTAGTTAATTTAACTCTAGAACTAGAAGATGACGGTTTCACTTTTGAGGAGGAAGGTGAAACGAATAACTGTCAAACCACTGAAAAACCCAGGATCAAGTTGGCATTCATCATGGACTGATATCAATTAGAGAGCAATCTAAAACCTGAGAGCACTGAACAGCTGTTTCTTCCTAGTATACGACTCCTTAGTAGTGCGCACCCGTGACCCCTATGGTCTCTCTATATCGCAAACTGACAGAAACAGGAAAATGGGAACAAATGGATTCTGACCCACCGGCTCAATGGTAACCTACTATCTTCGGAAGTCAAAACTCCTGAGTTAGATACCTTGCAGGTCATGGGTGCACTCTGGTAAAGAGTCCTATCCCAGGATGAAACAGCACTCAACTATGACCTGCCTTTTGTGTTTGTTTATATCTATCAGAAAGGTATATTTTCACCCTCGAGGAAACCCATTTAACTTCACAGATTCAGATGTACATCATTTAGGTAGTGGTGGAAGTGAGCTTGTTTTTAGTCTGGAGTAAGATCTTTTGTAAACAGAGTAAGTACACTAGTCTATTCCTCGACAGTAGCGACTTAAAAAAATGCTTGGTGGGACTGAATTGACCGACTGTGCGGCAGAACACGAAGCAAGCTATTGAAAAAAAGCTTTTTGGCACTATTTGGGTTTCATCTTTGGGACAACAACATTCTCCTTGAGGTTACAGAAAACCGTGCTTGATGAATTCTAATAAATACAAAACCTATAGGTTTCCACTAACTGCTTCGAACAAACTGATGCGAAATTCAACGCACCTTAATACCAATCCTCTTGGCTTATGATCTAAACAATCTTATCGCATTAGCTGAGTCCAGTAAGCCTGCACTAAAGGTTGAATAAAGCTACATTAGCTACTTTATGCGCGTTGGTCATCAAAAAGAATGGTTGTCAATATTTAGGTTAACCAACGCATTATTTAAAACTCTCACTAAAAGTTATATGAAACTGGTTGCTCTTCTGTGTTCGTTACTTCATCAAGTTCTTTTGGGATGATTTATCATCAAAGTATTGTATTATTACAGTAAACAGCAAGTGGCGTGAGTCATTATGTTTCATACTGATATCATAATACTCCAAGACAGTTATTTTTGACTTATTTTGTTTCTTTGTGTACTGTTTGATTAAGGGACCTGCATTCATCACTTGGCATAGAGCATATCTTTTATTATGGGAGAGTGAACTTGCTCGTTTGGGTATTGCTGTTGGTGATTCTACAGTTCAAAGAGATGGAGATGATTTCACATTGCCATACTGGGATTGGACTTCAGCCGAAGGTTGTCCAATATGTACAAATGATTTAGTTGGCGCACCTGACTTACAATCAAATACAGGCGGTTTAGATCCCACCAGTGTGTTTTCTAACTGGATCACATATTGTCCTCAGCGACCTGGAATAAATGACTGTCATGTTTGTGATCCAGGTAAACTATTTTGTGTTATACTATCGTGACTCAGCAGCCTAGTGGATAATGCTCAGGTGTTAAAAGCTATGGGTTCGAGTCTCGTGGGTAACAATGTCATTCACTAGGTGTCCCAAATAAAAAGAAACATATCCTGGGTTCCACTTCTCAACACTGTCTTTCTTAAGTGCGAAGCGATTAGTATCAATAACAATGAGTCAGATTAACAACTGAGACAGTGAATTATTCGATTGTTATATCCAAATTCATACTTTTTTACAAAAAGAAATAGTCAACTGATGCCCAAAAGTGCAATACATATGTCATTATACTAACAGATCAAAAATCTAAAAGTCGATTTATCATGAAACACACTTAGCTTGTCTAGATGTTTCAGACATCACGAGATTTCCTCCAGGTATATCAAAAAAGTTTAAATAAAGCCTAGTTATTTCACTTTCACAGGAACAAACTTGTCAATCCACTGAGGTAAACCATTTCAAGGCATTTAAATCAATATGAAACACGTATACGCACACTCAATCATCAAAATTGTGTTAATTTTTACATGAAACAGACTATCTTTTGTATATCACCCTTTAATTACACTTAAATAGGTTAATTTAGTTGAAATTAATGTTTAATTTTAAAAGTGAATTGAACCAGCTGAATTAACACGTATTACATTTGATCCCAGATCCATTCGCCACATAAAGAACTAGTTAAAACCCATTATACATCAAATAAACATCTAAAATTTATGGTCGAATCAATTTCCAAAGTATTTTCCAGCACATACTTATGTCACTTTGAGGACCATCCGAACCAGAAGAGGGCTCCTCATTAGTGTGCACTCACAAATCCTCGAGAGATCGAACCCAAAACCGCTGGCTTTCGTGACGAGTATAATACCATTCAACCATTGGGTCAGGACTCAATGATGAACCTTTTTCTACTTCTGTTAATTCATGATATAGCGTAACCATAATCGAATGCCATCACTTGGTATTTGTCTTCAGATCCCACTTCATTGACTCCATAGTTTACCTCTGAGTATCACTTCGAGGCAAGTCATTAATGGGTAGTAATTCACTTGTTGAATTCAGGGAATTGATCGATTTCAAAGTACTTTTCGTTGCTGTTTCCCAAATGATTTCAGTACATGCTGAAAACTGCTTTGAAACGAATTAGTCCCCACACACTACTAGTTCAATTTTCTAAGTGTCCCGTTTATTTTACAACATTCACATATAAGTAACCAAAGCAATGATCTAACTTTCGTTTATAACCAAAACTCATCTGTCAGATAGTGAAGCATGACAACCTAAGTTAAAAACTATGATAGTATGGTGTTAATAACTTCATTTTTATTTATTCTGGTTAGTGGCTAGAATAAAAATACGAAAGTTAACATAAGAGAGAAACATTGATGGTAGGTATAGAGAAGCTAAAAGCCTTGACCAACAGTTTACTGATACGGAACTTCAGATATTCGACAGTATGAAACCCATCGAATTTGGTTGGAAATAAACTAGTCTATTTTTTCATATTCTCATTCTTCTGTCTATCAAAAGTTATAAATTTGTATTATGAATAACTTGTAATTACTCTGAAAATACAGTGATGGGATCTCAAATACTGTACTATTTGCATATACTTTAAAAAGACTTAGGAATATGTGTTTCTCAGTTTGTTGTTCTTTGTTTCTTGGATTTAATGATTATCTCTTGCTCCATTGCCAGTAATGATGACTGATGACGATACATATAATGAAAGTGATCCGTGAGAATCTCTGCTTGACTTATGTCACATGATTCATGATACTCATCATTTAGATTCATTTTTTGTCGTACGGAATTCTCTTTCAGTGCCCAAGACACTCACCAATTAGCATCACAGTCAAAAGACTTACTGTCAAACTGTTCACGCTAACGTATCTAGTGACATAGCGTGGTAATCCTTCTACCAAACATTACCTCTAGAATTCCGTCGATAAAGAGCAGTAAACAACACTTCACTCTTCAGAAAAGGATAAATATAGTGTTAGAGAACGACAGTTTCTATACAAATCAGTGTATCTTGTTGGACATCATTAATATCACACTGGCATCTGGAATCACGTTTTCCTGCAAAGTATAATAGATATATGCTCTTACTTAAGTTCCTAACTGAATCACTGATAACACCAAATCTATTAGTCAATATCACTTCGGTAAGAACGGTGTCCTATGAGAGAGCTCCTTTCGAGAGTTCATTCAAAATTCTCTACAGGGTTCGATCAAACCACTTGAAGGGAGTAAAATCAAGCATCTGTCTATAGCTGAAGCATTAGCCATCCAGAAGTTCAAACCAGCGTTATGCGCGCAAAAAAGATACGTCCAACTTTTACCTTTGCCATAGCCATCATAAAGCCTTGTCTGCCACAGATTCATTTTGTATCAGACTGAACCTGCATTACGTAATTACAATCTTATTTTCATGACCCTCTATTTATTCTCATACTCTGTCATAGGTTTATCCGGTGTAACACAATCGCAATTTTATCTCCATAACCCTTCGTTTAGTTTCCTACTTTGTCATACATTCATCCTGTATTACGTAATTACATTTGATTTCATAATCCCCTGTCTATTTTCCCACTCTAAACACAAATGTGTATTTAGAAGTAGTATTCATCATGGACTGACGTCAGTTGGGAAACCATTGAAGATCTGGAAGCACTGGACAGCGGTTTCGTCCTAGTATGGGATTCCTCAGCAGTATGCACCCACGACCCGACTAGGGGTGGAACTCAGCACCTTCAGGTTTCACGGCGAACGCGTTAACCATTCAGCCACTGAGTCGGTTTCCACTGGTTCACAGTTTCCAACTTCTGTCAATTCACGACATAACGCGACTGTCGCCCAAGGTCTTCTAAATTAAAAATCCCCATTCATCTCAAAAATGCATTACTGTATAGTGCTCATTAGTGACTTGCTTCCAGATGGATGTTAGGAAGTTCTAATGAGAAGCCGTGACCTGTGGGGTCAACCAGTCGGAAGTGAAGTGGATGCTAACTGAAGGGAAAGACGTTGGGTGACAGTCGCGTTATGTCGTGAATTGACAGAAGTTGGAAATTGTGAACCAGTGGAAACCGACTCAGTGGCTGAATGATTAAGGCATTCGCCGTGAAACCTGAAGGTGCTGAGTTCCACCCCTAGTCGGGTCGTGGGTGCGTACTGCTGAGGAGTCCCATACTAGGACGAAACCGCTGTCCAGTGCTCCCAGATTTTCAATGGTTCCCCAACTGATGTCAGTCAGTCCATGATGAATACTACTTCTAAAAATTAATATCCAAGTCACTGATTCGTATCAAAAGTTGATGCTGCCAGTTGATAGAGTACTGGTGAGTTGTTCCACTAGGAGTGTAAGCCGCATTAGTTAATTCCAGTCGCTAAGAATGTTTCAACCAATAACATGATGGCTATATTTTTCGAGAATGTAACTATATTTACCTTGTTGAGAAGTCCGAAAACAGAGTTGACTAACTGTTTGACCGAGTTTGATCTTTATTAAATGGTCACCTTGTATTCATCTTTTTCCATATGAGATTTAAAGTGATTTAAATGGTTCCCTGATAAGGTAAATAGCCGTTCTCAGTATTTCTATCATGTCGACACCAGTAGTTTACAACTAGTCATCGCCTGTACTATCTATACTTCATAGAGAGAGACGGTTGTTGAAAAAATATGGCTTTAAATGACCTCAGTGAATTACCTTAAGCTATAAACAATTTTAAGTAACATTATTTAGGCTAGTCTTCGGAACTCAACGTATACGTTGAATATAAATGTTACCACAGGCAGACTCTTCTAACCTCAAGTAAAATCCTTGTTTCTTCAATCCTAAACAATATATGAAATATGTTAATGATGGATCATGGCTAGCAGAGGAATCCAGGATGCTCGTTTCGACCTATTTGGGACTCGTCAGCTGGACGCACCTGCTTCCCAGCGACTGATGTTGTTCCCACGGGGATTCGGACTCGAGAGCGATAGCTCCAAACTCCAGAGTGTTACCCACTACACCACTGAGCCACGATAGCCACTTCTTGTGCAATGAGTGTAGTTTTAGTATCATTGCATGTATCATACCGTCGTTGATTGGACCGAACTGATCGGTCCAAATCCAGGTGGGAACAACATCACTCACTGGGAGGCAAGTCCATCCAGCTGTGAGTCCTAAATAGGACGAAATGCGCATCCTGGATTCCACTGCTAGCCACGACCCATCATTAACATAATTAGATTGCTGGCAGTATCGAGGCATCCGCACAGGAGCCCATATGCTAATACAGACCGATCAATTCGGTCCAATCTACGACGGTATCATATATAAAACCCTTATACTAATATGTGAAATACTCACATAGTTTTTATAAGCCAATTTACTGCAGTTATTCGATAACAACAAGAATTCCGATTCAGTACCACTCCTTAGAAGCCTAGGAAATTAAAGAAATGCTGTCTTTTAATCACAACTGAAATGAAATAGTTTCCCCTCTCTCATACTTCAACTTGAACAGCAAATAGACTCTCAATAAAAAGTTTCGTGGTGCAGAGTACATGGTAGCAATTTCATGGCAAACACGGAGATACTTTGTAAGGTTGGCCTATATGAACGTGATTACTCAGATAGTACTTGTTTTCGAAGACCACCTTAATGTTGGTCAGAACTACCAAGGTAGAGTGATCAGTTTCTCACTAACATTACACTTAAAATTATAGCTAGTAGTGTATTCCTAAAAGAGTGATCAGTTTCTCGCCTAGATTTTCCTCAAAATTACAGCTAGCAGTGTTTTGAAGGTATCCTGACCAACAATGGACTGGATGGTTTGAAAAAACTTAGGCACCAAGTTAGTATGATTCATTGTATAGGATGTATTTTTACTTGGGTAATCCCAGCCAATGTTAGATTCATACTCTTGAAAAGGATCTTCCTAACAAGATCGAAACGTTCAGCATTAGTACAAAATATTTGTTTACTTTGTTATTTGTTCTAATATACTACGCCGGGATTATACACGTAAAAATGCACCTTATGCAATATACCAGTGTATTCTTACAAGGATTTAAATATGTCGATGGAAAGATTGTATGTTGACGAATAGAATAATATATTATAAGTATTTAGGATTTGTCCTGGTGCGAACTTGACAGACGCAAAGACCAATCACTAATTATTCGGACTTGTTAAATACCCACGAATACGAGATCAAGGAAGAACACGATAGCGTAGTCGGGTGGGATAGTATGTTTGGATGGTTGTGCCAAAATACCGATGCGTTCCAACTAACTGGCTAGAGAGTCGAATACGAGCAGTGCAATGTAACACGACAGCGTGCCAAATGGCGAGGATGCTTGACCGGGTGCCTTCAGCTTAGCGAGTCCAGTTAAACTATCAAGGTCAGCATCGATGTCGAAAGTCGTCGAACCCTAGGCTATTGATTTTGAGGAAGTGTGTGACGCTACAAGTACATTTCGAATGAAAGGTTTACAAACAATGGTAAGCTTTTATTTCAGTAAATTATTAAGAAAATATTCCACCTGTTGGTGTGATCATGGGCAGTAATTTCGTTCCAATTATTACCAAAATAAGAACTTATCATTATGTGCAAACTCTCGATTAATACATTTATGATTTAGATTTTTCTGCAAACCTCATTTACAGTTATAAATTGCACTCAACACATATTGATTTCGGCAACTTCCAGGACGCGTGTCTCGTCCTACTCGGGACTCGTCAGCTGGATGTAGCAGCACCCCAGTCAGTGATGTGGTTTCCACTGTGGATAGAACCCAGTACCCATCGCGTAAACCGACAAAGTGTTATCCACTAAGCCAAGTACCAAACAGAACAAAACGCCAGACCTGGGGTCCTCTGTTAGTCACCAAGATCAATGTAACATTATGAATCAGAAGCAGCATTAAGGCATCCGCATAGAAGCCCATCTACCAACAGAGGTTGAGCAATTCGGCCCTGTATAACAACGGGAGATTAAAATTATCATAACACTTACACTCGATGCATTTTGAAACAGGCTCCCTGAAATATTACACAACATTGTCACTACAGAATTGAATTCTCTACAATTTTTCAATCAATTTTGTGTTTGGTCTTAACCTGATGGCGATTTGTTTCATAAAACAGAATTTATGTGACAAGTAATGGTTTTATAAGCTAATCTAAGTACAGATAACTTATCTAAGCTCAACTAATCAGATTCCCACGAGAAAGTGTTTTAATCCAATAGGAAGTACCTTGGCCACACAAACGTATTGAATTTCAAACATAGGAACCAGCCAATCATATTTCAATCCAAATTTCTTTCTTCCACCCTAAATAAATTAAGGGGGGAGAAGTGCTCGTGCAATAAACGTCAAGCGACTGACTGACAGCCAGGTAAACGGAAATGAACCTAAGAAAGCATGAAAAAACAAGTAGTCTCCAGAATATCTATGGTTCTGAATAAATAATATATATATATGCATGACATCTTACGGTTTTATACTTAATTTGTTATGATCTCAGCATGTAGGTTTATAAATCTTAAGTGATTCAAAATAATCGGAGATTGTATGGTAAAGCGTTTTGCCATGGAATTATCAATCTCTATTTGTTCTGACCAACAATGAATGCCACGATGACTATTCGAAAGGCTATATAACTGGCAGTTATAAAATAACACAGTTTTTGAATTCATTACTCCCACTCTAAACTGATTAACTGTGCAATAATCATAGTTAAACGAATAATATATATTTGCTCTGTAATTGATCTCTTACAATAGGTGTAACGTGGTCAAGTAATCCTAATCATCCAATGGCAGGTGGTCCTTTATGGCGGATAAGAAGTGGGACGAAATATACTTCAACATTTTCTCGTTTACCAGACCAGAATGATGTTCTACGAACCCTGGAAACACCAGATTACGACGTATGGCCATATAGAATCACTTCTGGAAGGCGTAGTTTTCGTGATGTACTTGAAGGATTCACTGATCCCAAAATTCCATTCAATGCTACTGACCCTAAAGACAATCAAAATGTTCTAAGCACAGTTGCAGTAACCACGAACTGGACGAATATCACATTTCCGTCTAATAGAACAAGTATAACTGATATTCCAGTTTACATGCACAATCTGGTAGGTTGGCATAAGCGGCTTGCTCAAGTTTATTTATAAATGAACTAAAAATTTTCGATTAACTAACATATGAGAAGACATTTTGTTCAACATGAGATCGACAGTTGTTTGGTGTCCTATTTCTGTTGTATTATTTTATTATTATTTGTCCTTTGGGCTCCTAGTGAGACGTCGCCATTCCACTTTGTTCTCTGTAGTCTTTTGAAGCTGGTTCCCTTTCTGATGCTTGATTGGGAATTGCTATGTGACCTTAGCAGCATTTACTTCATAAGGCGATGAGGCATTTTAAAACTGCACAACTGGTGATAGCTATACCCATTAGGACACCATATTTCCAAGAACTATGATATTGCTTTAACTTTTGTATGCTATGGTTTAGTTCCAGTCCAAGTTAAAATTAATCTGCTTCACATGCATTTAGAGCAGCTACGATACACCGTATCATTTGACTGAAGGCCGGTACAGATTAGTCCTGTAAACTGTGCAATGAGTCTAGTGACTGCAGCAGGGAATGGTGAGTCTTTGAGATTATTTTTGCAGATCAAATGTATCCATTCTTTATTAGGTAGTGGATATTTAACTTTGCACAGGATACTTTGTAACTGCCTAGTTGGTTTGTGTACCACACCTATTCCGAATTCATAAAGTATTTGATTTACAGTTCCAGACACTGAGGATAGAAGAGATTTGTAGCTCAGGATAAAGGGGCCTTATAACTTCAGTCTCCACTTTTGATATCCTTACAACGACTTGATGTAGCCTTCAGATTCCACCCTTAATGGTCGATCAGCTCCTCCGTAAATAGAGAAGGCGATAATACAACAGAATGTATATTTACAGCCTCAACAATATACACAAATTACAAGGTTTATATATATACATATATATATATACGGATACTCGCATACTATTTCACGTGCTTTTTCCTGAAACTTCGGAGTAAAGTGATTGGTAGAAAAAGGCTTTAGCGGTTTACGGTCACTTATTAAGATTTTGGTAATGTTATCACACACTATAACAAGATGATAGTTGTTTAATGTTGGTCGAGTTTTAAGGTTTCTTCCTGAGCGTTTCATCCCCAAATTAGGCGACCTCAACATTTACTTCGTAAAAAAACATCGTTTGTGGTAAAATAACTCGTTTTCTAGGTCGTAATTGTATTTTTCGATTTTTGACCGTTCGCACGAAGAATGCCTATCTGATTTCCGTAAAACGAACCACACAAAAACATGTATTCAAGTTTTCTCTTCGAATGGTATTAACAGGACATTTCACCATTGTGTTCCGATATAAGTTAGGGTCAGAGGTACTACACATTACGTGAAGTTCACCTCGAATTAAGGTCATCAAAAATTGCTCACTTAGTCATGAAATAATAACTTGTTAGGTTGCATGAAATGTTCACAAAACTATGGAATGAAAGATGAATGAATTTTCAGTTCAGACGACTCAATGTTCATTGTGATTCTCTTGACCCAGTGACTTTGGTCAGTAATTACAACATTCGCTACCATCAAAAGATTGGTCACATTTTGAATGACGGATACAAACTTTTCTAACAGAGACAGCGAAATATGCAAGTGTGACATTAAGCTGTAGCACGTATTTTTCAGGTTCACAGGGGTCATAGATGTTTGATCACTAACACTGTTTAGCAACTACTCAGTATCAGTTTGACTACCTGAAATAGGCGTCATTTCACAGATTTGTTCTGATACTGGGTGATAACTGACTGAAGTAAAAATCTGGGCCGCGGCAGGATTCAAACTAACAAACTCGAGGATACCAGTCCGGTGATCTGCCAACTGAGATGCAAATTCTGGCTGCTGACGAGATTTAAATTTCACTCCAATCATCAAGGATTTTGCCTGCTTACCATCTTCATTTCCCCTTCAGTTATTGCCCAATACCAATAAAAGTCTGCCAAACCACGACTATCTCAAATAGTCAAACTGTCAATCAATATGATGCTCTGCCTGTTTATTTCAAGTAGATTTGGATGGAGTGAGAAGTTTTGACTAGGAAGCCAGTGTGAATGTGACCAAGCGATAGTAAAGCGTCACAAATTCACGTGACAGCCCGGCGACTGAAACGAGATAAAATCTGGTCATCAGTCGGACCTCATAGCTCAGTTGGTATAGCATCCATTTGGTATTCAGCAGGCCACTTATTAAAATCATGCCACGGCCCAGATTATCACTTCAACTTCAATTTTCTTCCGGTATCAACTACCCAAAAATCAATGATGGTGTCAGGTAAGGGACTCTAGGTGAGAAGACGAACCAGCCAGTGAGTTTTTGAATCCCGCGGTTCGTTTATTTTCCCCTATATTGATTCCAAATATGAAGAACTGTAGCCTAACATTTCATACATAACCATTAGAATAGACCGAAGTCTTCAGGAGCACATATTCGTTTTTTGTATGACTAAGTAGAAGGCCTACACGTTTTCGAAAACCAATAGCGTCTTTGCTCCTAATTTCAGGATAAATGAAGAACATGAGAAGATTGCTACCATAATTTCTTTTCCTGGGATCAAGTGATTCCAACGAGAATTATGCTTTTTTATGATGCGCAGTAGCTAAAGAGCTAAAATTATACTATATGTGCTTCCCAACTGTAGTTGATGTTGATTCTAAGTTTAAGCCAAGTATTACCAAGTTAAATGTGAGAGTGGTAATCAGACTTAGAGTGGAGAATCTGAGCTTAGATAGTCTTAGTAAGTGTATAACAAAGAAGGCATGCTCTTTGACGGCTAAACTTAATACGTGAAGTGAAGAATGCAAATACATGTGATATGCAAGTAATAAATTTTGAAAACTCTGTTCACAATTTTCGTATATATCCCAGATCAAACATTAACTCTTTCTAGGAATAATATATCTGAAAGTTTAGGGTGTGACTGTCTAGATGACAAGGTTACCGATCTCAGTAATTTTGTGTCTGATTGAAGTGACTGACAGAATAATACAAAACACACGAATGCTTCTAAGGCAGTGAGACACTTGGACTACATATGAAAAGCAACTGTTCACCCTTAGACTTGATACTTCACTGAGTCGCAAAAATCAGAAGACAAAGACCAAGCTGTGACTGTAAGGAAGATGACTTTATTTGACAAAAACAAATCATTTATATAGAGTTTTCCTCAGGTCACTAGTCCACTAGGTCACAAGTTGGATGGTTATTGTGATTAGTCAGCTGTAAGACAGAATTGTCCAATGGGGTTTTCCCTACCCACACTGTAACATGTAAGAAGGTGGGGATTCAAGACTTCTGCCTTAGCGGCTGATGATTTAGAATGTTGATTTCAATTTAAACCGCTTGCTATCACTGATGATCACTGTGTCTACAAACTGTCAGCATGTAATATGCTTTTATAGTTTTACTTAAGGATTTCAGCTATTGGAAATGATAGTGTCTATCTACCAAGAGCAGTCTCATATATTTTTATTGATTTATTAGATTTATCATATAGTGTAACAGCATTGTTTACGTAATTTATTGTCCATGGTCATATGAAGATGACTATGGACAATAAATTATGTCCGAAACGTAATCCAGTAAACAATGCTGTTACAGTGTGTGATAAATCTAATAAATCAATAAAAATGGAATTACATTCTACCACAGTGCACAAGTTTTACTCTTATATTAGTCCCATATATTCTATAATAAAAACGCATTACTATTTATGGCTATAACAAGGCGTCCGTGATTGTCTGCATTCATAAAAGACAGTTTGTAGGAGAAGCAAGTTACAAGATCTATGTCCCTCCTCGACTGTTAACAGTCAGCAGGTAGGAATTTCAGTTTGAACGAGGTCTCTAGGCTGGCATTCCTTAGCAGAAAGTTTTTAAAATCAGTCTATCAAAGATTTGAATCTGTTTCGGAGACCAGCTATGATCCACTGACTGGTCACTGGAGAACAATCAGTTTCATGTTGTCTGGTCCTGAGTGCTGATCGAATTCTATCTGTCATTTTGCACTGCGGACACCAAACTAGGAGGCTCAGCATCGTGGTGCACTTTGGCAGCTGTCAGCTGGTCTGGGTGGTCGGCAAGAAGCCCTAGGGGTAGATTTTGTGCTTTCTGGTACTCGTCAGCAAGGCGTACCTGTGACTTTGAGGGGACTCATCCCCCCTCTGAAATTCGAGCTTATTTCACCCAGTGCTGTTGTCAACAAAGTTACCACTGAGCTATTTGTTTGCTCTCGTTTGACCAACCAGCATATCTAACTCAGTCCTACGAGAGGTCAGTCACTGTCCGAATAACTCAATGGTATCGTTACTTACTACAATGCTAGGTAATGTTTATTCGAATCTCACTGGTATGTTAGTTCCCCCGAGGTCTCAGAAATGCCTTTTTTCCTAGTGCCAACAACCAGGAAACCTAGTTGGAGTAGGGCTTCTTGCTCATTGCCTCCAACCAACTAACCCCAGTTATGATCTTTACAGGTGTACTAATATCTCTATTTTGTGCCACTGGAAGATATTAACTTCAATTTCTGAAGACGTGTAAACTTTATTCAGTCTTCATTGATGAATGCAAACTAGGTGGTAAACCATCTCAATTAACAAAAACACTTTAACACACTCAGGATAGGTAATGAGAAGATTTTCTAGCTGATTCCTACATATCATATTGTAGAAAACGACAAGACGGAGAAGAGGGAAGGAATGTGTATAAATGACATCTTGTACAGTAGTCATCAAGTATCGCACACCTTCCACTAAGACAGTCATTCGCATAATGTGTTTCATTTCCTCTTCTGCTTCTATCTTGATTCGCTCTTAATACGCTGACATTGTCTCTTGCGTTTCTTTGAGCAGAATCTTTACCCGTTGCTGGTAATTCCCTATTATTTCTGCCGCTTTCTCAACATATACTACTTGTATCTCTTCTGACCAGCAACGCCCACTACAATAGTATTTTCTGAACATCAATTCATCCAAATTAATTGTTCTTTTAATTTTTTCTGATATAATTTTACCTGACGATTTTTTGAAATGTATTTCAATATTAGGTTCACAGTTATTTCAACGGGTCATGGTTCGATGTTTCAACTAGTCCAAATGATCCATTGTTTATATTACACCATACATTTGTTGATAAACTATTTGAATTATGGTTCAGAAAATATCGACCAAGTCCTAGTCAAGTAGGTTGAAGTAAACTTTATTTTCTTGTTTCTTTGCTAAAATGTATTATTGATAAGTCAATTCATGTTGATTACGCCTGAAAACTGAATTGTGTGTGTATGAATGATTTGGATATTGGTTAGATAACTGCAAGGCTATTCTTAAATTATCTAAGAACAATCATGGTTACCTAGGAAAACACTTGCAGTCAACTGGAAAGAGGGCACAAATATCAGAAACTCATCGCTATATCTAAAGGTTTATTTTCACTGAAAATTAAATGACTAGATGGTAAGTAACGTGAAATCTACTTCGTGAACACAAAATAGCCAGCTTAAAGAACTGTTTAGAGGGAAAATCAGTCCAAATGATCAAGTTATTCTTTTTTCAAATTCTGTCAGTATTCTGATGTAGAGGAAGGATAATGGTTGGCAGTGTAATCCATGATGCACATTTCGTCCTTTTTGTGACTCGTCAGTCGGATTACTTGTCCCCAGTAAGTGGTGTTCTCACTCGGGTTAAAACATAACTCCTAACGCTTCAAACGCCAGAGTGTTATCCAACAGGCTACTGAGTAATGGCAGCCACTCCTTATACCATCAGCTATTGAACACACTTTCTAATTCTATCAACATAATCATGCCCTTTGGTACCGTAAATACTGACTGGAATTTCTTTTTTATTTTCTAGTGTTTTCTTATGTATTTTCGGAGAATTTCATCTCAAAAAGTCCATAGACAAATTTGAGTTAGCTGTTTAGTCAACCGGTTTGTATATGGATTGAGCAAAGTAACGAGGCTTATGCATGACGCGACTGTTAAGCAAATATGTCGAGGATTTGTGAAGCACTCTCTGAAGTCTGCTTTAGGGCTATTGTTTTTATCATATTATGCTTACAAACATTTTGATTGGGGATACAGGTGCCCACCGAAGAATCACCGATAAGAATAACTGATAAACTGTAAGATTCAATCGGTAGAAAGCCTCGCTTTACTGTGGTTTCATGCCTGTTGGCTCTCATCATCATGGCGTTCCTGCAATTATGAGGAAACTGGTATTCCTTTGGGGATTCGAACCTGCATGAGTCAGTGCTGAAGCTAGAGATTCTAGGACTGGGCTATTAAGTCCACAACTAACCTCTTGTAGGACTGGATTATGTACGCCATTTGGTCACTAGTGGGTAGCATATGTAATCGTCTAGCCCTTAGTCCTCAGCACTAATCGACATCCATCCATCTAGTTTAAAAATGTAGCCACCAATTATTCTCTATCTCAATTCACTGAGTAGGTCGGTTTTTGAATCAAAATACTAGGAAAAGTGTTAAGTTCAAATAGGCACCTTTAAAATTGTTGCATTATCCGCTATTCTGTTTTGTTTTCAAAATCTACTGAAGTAACAAATCAGTTTTATATCAAGGCAAAGAGCCGAAATTTGACTACCAGAACGATTGCATTGCAAAGGAATGGATCATTCAAACTACCCTCTTCCAGTCTGTTGATATCCAACTTTCTTCTAATGTTCAAAAAAGTTGTGATTTGACAGCTGTGATGAGAATAGAATTAAAGATCACAGTAGACTGAAGCTCAATGAGTAGACAAAAATCAGTACTAGTTCTAGTAATGATGAATAATTGATAGCAATGGAATCTAGGATATGTACCTCGTCCTATTTACCACTTGTTAGCGGGACGTACATGCCTCCAAATCGATGATGTTATTCCCACTGAGGTAGGTACATTCAGTTGATGAATCCTAAATCAGACAAAACACACATTGTTTATCTTATCCACTCTGTTTTATTAATTTATCGAGGCATCCACACAGTAGCCTGTATACCAGTGATAGCTAGTCTATTCGGTTGAGTGAACGACAAACAATCACTAATAAGGCATTACAACCTCATAATAGGCATTCTTTGAAAAAAAAACATTCTTTTTCCTTTTCTAGCTATGTTCTTCCATAGTTTTTTTTCAATCCATCCAGCTTCTGTTTGAAGAACATTCATTGGTTGATCCTATGGTAGTGTGGCTTTACTGAAGACGCTGTACTATATGCTACTCAACTACATTTTATCAGCAGCACATGTAACACATACTGTTTGTGATGCTAAAAAATGTTTCACATGAATGAATCTTATGGTTTGTATTCACTTTGTGTCAATTCTAAAATTGAAAAGATAAGCAGTTTAACCGCAGAGAAAATAGCAAACCAGCCATCTCATCGCAGTTCGCAACATTTTTGATGCAAAACAAAACTTTACACCTACACAGTTTTATTGTCTTTCTCAGTAACACACAATGGATACTATGCCCCCTAAACAGCTCAGTAAACATCTGAATGTAAAACTGCGCTAAGTTAAAGTATCTTTATACCTAGCTGTTTATATGCTATAAATGACAGCATTCTTACCTCAGATAATGTTTATACGCACTTCATTTCAAAGAATAACCTTTGTTTAGATGTCGTTTTATCATTTGGAAGGAAGATCTTTAGGGGAATAAGGCCATGAAACTACCTATGGTGAAGGAATAAAGCGTCATCGATATCCCCCAGATATGAGTGAAATGTATCAGTCTGTTTTCTGTTTCACAATGTGGCATTAAATTTTATCTCAGGCATATAGCTTATCAACTGAGCAGGATAAAAAAACTCATCATGAATACCTGGAACTATATAAATAGTGCATAATTGTATTGATACATTGACTGTTCTCAGATGACAGATTTAGTGGTAAATGTTACTTCAGAACTTGTTAATCACTTTTACACTTTTATTGTTAAACACTGTCCTTTGATTTATCGTTATATCTCTATTTCAAAAATTGATCGATAGATCTTGTTTAGTAATCAAAAAATTAAATCGAATGATCGTGCCTTATGGAATAAATTACATGTGCTTTCTCATATACTTTTACAATATAGTCATGGTTGCAGTAGGTAAGTGTTTGTATATGATAAATAACTAACAAGAGTATTCCAGGGAAGTTTTGAAAATATTTTTTGACGTCAGATTATGTAAAGTGAAATTCGATGTGCTATGTTTACAAATCTTATTCAAGCATGCAGAATCTAATACAGTGCACTGTGATTATTAACGAACTGACTAAGTATGTTATTGCTTGTATTGTCCTGTCTTTGACTGGACTAAACTGGTAGGTCGCTATTGGCTTGTGAGCTTCTATGGTGATGCCTCGATATTGCCTTTCATTCCAACTTATTATAGTAATGATAAAGACCGACCAAGTCCCTCCAATCAACGACGAGATTATACAAGTAACAATATAGAAACCATATGTGTCCTACAAAAAGTGGTTACCGTGGCTGTGACCAGATGGATAATACTCTAGTGGTAGTAGCGATCAACTTCGAGTTTGAGTCTTTGTAGGAACAACATTGCCCACTGGGAGGGAGGTACGTCCAGCTGACGAGTCCCCAATAGGACGAACCAAGTGCCCTGGATTCCGCTACTGGCGACTATCCATCATTATTAGGATTACCCTAGTGTCTGCATCACAGATATGAATAGGGAAACTCATTCTACTAACAGTGATCATGAAACCGGTCACTTTCTACCTGCACGGATGAGTCACTGCGTGAGTTGCTCACTAGTAGCGTCTTCGGTTGATGTTTCTGGTGACAGAAGTCGAAATCTGAGGTAACACTGGTCCTTCTGAGTTAGGATGCGTCTTAGTGAACACTAATGACAAGCGTAAAATTTGTTTTACATGCCGTCCCATGTGAACTCATTTCAAGTTCTGTTTAATTAGTCTAAATCTGAGCAGCCAATGAGTATCTCTTTTTCCATTTCGAACAAATTCCTTTTCCATCTGTATGATAATTTTTATCAATCCATTTACAGTACCCAAGAAGAGGATGTCCACCAGGTCACAGTGCATATTCTCCAATCGTTCCACTTTTCCCAGTCATCGAAAATATAGCCTATTTTGTAGACTCAAGAAGTCTTGGTTACGATTACGATGATTATAAAGCAGGCAGTACAATAATAGTCCCAGGTGAGTGGACATGTTTCTAGCTGAAGTAATCAACAAACAATTTTAAATTATTAATAAGATTATTCTATATAGCTGTGGTACGACAGACTGATGTAAATGATACTGAACAATGACTAATAATGAAACGAAAATTTGAATAACGTTAGGATTCGGAGAAGGATCCTGAGTGTTATCGACTCTTATGCTTATCAACTGAGCTTTGAAACCCAGTGAAAATAAAACCTGTCCAAAAACTTTGTCTCGTAGCTCAGTCTTTAGACCACTATGAGAATGAAATTAGAGGCAAGTGCTTTAAATCTGACCACAGTTCAGGTTAGCATTTCACCTCTAAACATCAAGTATCAGTTTTCAAGTTAAGAAACACTATAGGTTTATTCGTGCGCGATCCATCCAAGCTTACATTCAAGTTGACGTACCACAACCGATATGAGGTCTGTGTATCTGTCAACAAAGGTAATTTTAAACAATCCAATTAATAGGGAAAGAGTAATGCTGATTTGCTTAGGTGTCATTCATTACCTCACTTTTCTCTTTCGAAAACAAAGGTGGTTTCAGCAATGTATTTATCATTATGTTTGAACAACATTGAAATTCCCGTTAAAAGGCAAGCCAATTACCGAATAAATGCACAGTATAAGGCAGTTTGATTCACTAGTGTCACTATTTCCATGACAGTAATAACTTCATCTGAGAAACAGAAGCCTCAACATTAAGACGACTGAAAGTAATAACCACCACACTACCTGTCTGTTACTCTGTAATTTACGGGCATTAACTCATCTATTCACTACGGTCCAGATGCTCACATCTTTTATCTTTCCTAACGGAAACATCTCACATTTCCACAACTAGTCGTCTGGAAATACACGCAACAACAACAATTTCCAGAGGTATGCTATTCAAAGTAAGTGTGGTCTGTATGAAAGTGGTTGACTAGTGGTGAATGCAAAGTAGCTGACCATCTACGTCTCAGTTCTTCGTTTTGTATCATGTATTGCTTGTAGTGACATACCTCGAAGGTTTAGTACATTCACTCTGATATTGATCAGAAGGCTCTGAAGACATATTGGAACGTGTAGCATGCAGAACGTCCAATGTTTTAATATATTCTGGTGGATGATAACTGTCATGAAGAAGCTCAGAGATCTCTGGATTCAGGATTTGCTAGTGTTAATCAGAAATTTTATTCTTATCGAAAATCGTTTCGGAGTGAATGTTTAGAGAAGAAATACTGTTATTATGTCACAGCGTTTGAAGCGATAGGTTGCGGGTCTCAGTGGGAGGCAGGCATTTCCAGGTGGCGAGTTCCAAATAGGACGACATGCATGTCTTGGAATTCCTCTGATGGCCATTATCCATCATTACTATCAAAATTTATTGTTACTTGTCTAGTGATCATTATTAAATGAGGAGGCTATTCAGAAGGAAGTATTCAAATCACAGTACTACAATTATTATCACTGCAAACAATCCTCTAACCAAGCAGAATACCTTTCTCATCTCACTCAGTAAAACGTATTAGCATCAATGTCTGATGATTGTGTAACAGAATAATAAACTGCACTTTATCATAATATTTGTGGGCTAAAATTTCAAAGACTAACAGCTTTTTTATTGACTAAAGTGTGGTAAGTTCTTCACAAAGCTTGAATAGGGTTGAGACTATCTTATTCTACGGGAAGACTGCAGTATAATTAAAGCAGTCTTGTTCTCATCTCTGATGATTTCTTTATTGATATTTATTCATGTTAAAAGTAATCTTTAGTAAACTATCAACGACTGTTTCATACAGTGTTTAAAAAAGATTGTCTTCTCGTGAAGCGTCTTTCCACGTTCTCTGAACACTTTCTCCTTGTCAGAGAGTATTGACAGAATAAGAGGATAATTTTGTTGACATAAAATATTTACTATGCCGATGAAATGAAACTTTCAATAAGAGGATGACACTGGCATAACTATATTGGTTGGTAACACATTCAGTTCAAGGAGAAATGAACCCAAGAAATGAATAAATTTTTTGATTGTTTTCTTTAAATTTGGATGTACATAAATCATCTTATCTTCCTAATTCAGTTAAGCAAACAGACAGATAGACAGTCAGTGAAAAGCTACATAGAACCTCGCATAACAGTGCATTTGTTCAAGTAGCCACAGTATTCAGGGAAAAAAATTTGGTATGTAATCTTTGGTGGTACTTGAATTAAGTTATATATGTGCATGTCAGTGTTATATTGGTGTCAATTACCTCATTCGTCTAGCTTGGTATTGTTGTATGTGGTAGGCTGATTTGTGTTGTATTAGAAGACGTCTAATGCTAACACTCGCATATAGTGGGATTGAGCTTAGTGTTTCGAAAATTACCATGCTAAATGGTAATAACTTGCTTGATGTGATGTACGTGATTCTTCGAAAGACACTAGGTGATTACGGGACAGGGAATTTTGAAATGAGAAAAGAAACGACTTTTAACCCTAACCCTAATATCAGGTGCGCCTTCCACTTAAAATGCAATAAGATTAAAATCAGAAAATGAAACAGACTGAAGTGGCATTATTTGGCTAAAAGTAAATCATTCCTGCTGAAATGAAAGACATTGTAAGCTCAGATTTCTGATTGTTACGGTTTCATGGTTTTAAGTTGTTTGGAAGCGGTGACAGAAACCTCTGGACCTAGATGTTTTGCTTTCCAGTGGTCATCAACAAGGTATATCTCTAGCTATGATAAAGTAACACAACCTGGAGATTTGGTACCGTGTCTATTAGTTCTACCATTGAGTATTTGGGTCACACTGGACATCTTGTACAACTAGTTTATACACACTGATCAGTCAATGAACGGTCACCGATATCATATTATCGGTTAATAATTTTTGAACGCAGTCTACTGATCGGGTCTGAGTTAACTTAGTATTTAAACCATCTAGCTGAGATGATAGGAAGCAATCGTTGTCATTCACAAAGTATGCGTTCCATCATCCCAAGACTGGTTTCTCAATTCTGAAAAATCACTTAGTGTATTTCCTAGAAAAGTTTTTTATTTTTTGACTTGGTGGTGTAGGGAGATGTAGAACATCTGGATGGGGTCCTCGAAACGATAGGAATCAGTAGTTAAAAATCCTCGGTGAAATGGTTAAAAACCGGTTGCAGTGGCGCAGATGTATTCACTCCTTAACGTCTTCTAAAACCTGACATCTATCTTCAACTCGCTTACTGTCTCACACATACACACTGTCTCCCTAAGCTTTTCGAGCTATTCATATTGCTTAAACTGAAAGTCAAGATCCTTTGGCCTAATTATATCAATTTAGTCATAGTTTTAATGAAATTTCCTGGGGTTTCGGTTACTTGTAGGCTGATTTAAACACCCCATTGTGTCAATATTAGAGACCTATCATACTTTGTCGAAGTTCGTCTTTAAGTAATTGTATTTATCTTCCGTCTTCTGCTCTCTTCTTTCAACTGATAGAAGCAGGACACTCTTGTACTGGCCTGTGTATTGAACTAAAAATCATATGTAATCTTTCTTTGGGTCATGACGAGATCTAGTTATGAGTTTAGGGAGAGAAGGAGGTGATTTGAATCTGTCATAGAGAAATTGAAAGTTGCAAGCCTAGAGGTTACCGGGTCACTAATTCACTTGTGGTAGGAAACTTCGAGACAAATACAATCATGGAAGTACTTACGCTACTGCTTCCTTAACGAGTTACCTTCACATGAAGAAATAAAATGGTAACTCTACATAATTCCTGCCTATCACGAATTTAAATCAGGGAACCAAAACAATAAAAAAGAATCAGCATGCATGTAGTTCGTGATTCTCTTCATACGCTTGACAACTTACAGAACATAATTTAACACTATTATTATTTTTCCCTAGGCATCCTAGTGGAACATAGGATTCCAGTAGCACGCCCCCATTGCACCCTGTCCTCTACAGTCTTCACAACCTGGCGTCACAACTGCCCATAAACTTTCATTTCTTCCTCACATGATCTCCTACATGTCACCCTCACATCGGAAGCCCAACTCTTCGTTTCTCCTTTGGATTCCACTCGAGGGCCTGGCATGGCGCGTGTTGTCCCCAATCGGCCTTCCCAGTGTATGCCCAATCCATCTCCACTTCCTTCCAGTGCATATTTGTTGGGCGATGGGTTCTTGGTTGGTTCATTGCCGGCCACAGTTCCTTGTTGCTTATTCTTTCTGGCCATCTGATCTTCAGTGTGAGTATCGAGTGACTGTAAGCGGTAGCTGTTGACGGATGTCTGTAATTTGTTGGAAGTGCTTCTCGTGGCGCGCCAAGTTTCCGAACCATATAGCAACACTGACTTGACTGACGTTGGTGTTGAAAATCCGGATCTTGTTCACGCTTTATGCTGAGTACAGTAGATCTCCACACTGATTTCAGATTAATGAACGCCTGTCTTGCTTTTCCGCTCCTGGTTTTGACATCCTCACCTGTGCCTGTGTTGCCACGTGCTGTTGAAACGATGCTGCTCAGGTAGGTGAAAGAGACTACTTCCGTTAGGTTTCTCCCGTTAATGGTGATTGCAGTTTGTTGTTGATGCTGTTGTTGGCTAGGTATCATCATCGCCTCCGTCTTCTCCAAATTCACTTAAAGTCCCGTCTTCATTCGCTGTTCTGCCTCTTCTGTCAGCTTGTTGGTTTTCACCTGTAGATCTTCGAGTTTGTCCCACAAGACACTAGACATAAATCATCATTGGCGAAATCCAAATCTTTTCCTGGGGTATTTTCATCGGTCCAGCCAGTGTATGCCCATTTCCTCGCTCCTCACTGTTTGCTGCATGATCCAGTCCAGTGCACCACAATCAGGAAGATCATGGGTGATGGTAGGCAGCCCTGTTTACTCCTTCCTGTATTCACTACAAAGGTGTCACTGAACTTTCCATTTTGGATCACTTGGCATGTGGCGTCTACATATAGCTGTTGAATGAGGTTGATGAAGACTGGTGGCACTCCGTAGTGTTGAAACAACTGCCAAATCACTTCTCAGTCGACGCTGTCGAAGGCCTTCTCAAAGTCGATGAAGTTGAGGTACAGGTAAAGTAGACTGCCATTCTATGCTCTGTTGTAATTGGAATGCTTAGGGTTGCAATTCGGTCCGCGCACGATTTATACCTTCTGAATCTAGCCTGTTTGGGTTGAAGTTTTGAATCCAGCGCATTCTTTGGCTTCTCCAGAATGATGCGGTTGAATACTTTGCTTGGGGTGGACAGAAGCGTGATTCCTCTACATTTCTTGCAAACACTAACGTCACCCTTCCTTGGGAGTTTCACAAGGTAGCCCTCCTTCCAATCGATCAGCAGGTACCTTCCCTTCCTCCCAAACCTTCTGCAATAGTGGTGTGAGCATGTCCGCTATTGTCTCTGCGTCTGTTTTCAGTGCTTCTGGTGGAATTCCATATGGTCCCGTTGCTTTCCCGCATTTCAGCAGTTTTATGGCATTCAGGACTTCACTTCTGCCTTTGCCGGAGGGCCTGTGTTCGCTGGCCGTTCTGTGGCTGTAGGTGGTATTTCTGGACGAAATGCAGGTGGTGGTCGATTCAAGAGCCTCTTGAAGTGGTCAGCTCACTGTTTCCTCTGCTTCTCCTCTTCGGTAACTAAATTTCCTTCACTATCTTTTATTGCTTTCAACTGTGTTGATCTCTTCCCAGACAGTAACCTGGTTATTCGATACAATGTTGTCAGGTCTCTCCTACCAGCTCTCAGCCTGTTCTGCTTCATTTGCAAGTGTGTCGCAGCAGTGTCTTTTGTCTTTGCGTGCACCCTTCTTCACTCCTTTGTCCAGTGTATTATACTCTGTACTCAGTTCCTCTTTTCGTTGTGAATCTTTGAGCTGAACTGCTTTATCTTCTGCTTCACCATCCTCCTCTCCCTCCTCCATCAGCTTCCATGTATCCGTCGAGATCCATTCCTTGTCTTGTTTCCTCTTTCTTCCTATTACTGTTGTGCAGGTTTCTTTCCACATAGCTTTCAAGGAGTTCCAGTGTTCTTCCACGCCCGATCCTTCAGGGATGTTGCTCAATGTCTGATGTTTGGCTGGCGTGAAGATTTTCTTTGTAGTTCCGTTGTTCAGTTTGTGTTCTGGGTGTTGAACCTGAACTGTGGTCTATCATCACCAACCTCCCTGAAGGCCTTCAACTTGATTTTGAAGGTTCCTTGCACTAGATAGTGGTGTGACACTACATCCGCCCCCCTTCTTCATCTGATCTTATGTCCAGTAGGCTGCGTCTCCACCTTCTTCACGTTGAGATGAAGTCGATCTGATTTTTAGTGTAGTGTGTCCATCTAGTGAAATCAAATCCATGTCGCTGCCCTGTGAATATCCTTGTGTTTGTATACACTGCTTCGCATCACCAAATCGTTGAATGCACAGAAATCTGCAAACAGTTCTCCGTTCTCACTCATCATTTCGTCGAATGCTTCTCGACTCATGATCAGTTCTCTTCCTATGTTGTCCGCTCCCAGTTTGGCATTCATGTAACTCCACCCATAAGAATTTTGACGTCGCCAACTGGAGCTGTCTTGTCGCCTACTGACTGCAGTTGTCTGTAGAATTCCTCCTTCGCCTCCTGACCGGCGTTATTTGTAGGTGCATAGCGTAGCATTATGTGATTGTGACTTTCCTTCCTTTTCAGTTGAATCTTGCTATCATGATCCTGCATGAGAGAAAGTCTTCGATATTCTTATAGACACCATGATAGCCACTCCCTCCGTGTGCTCATGCTTGTCGTCTGGGTGACGATATCGTAGTAGATTATTGACTCTCCAGTTAGCAGTTTGGAGAGTCCACTTCCATTCCATCTACTTTCGCATATTCCTAACACATCTATCCCATACTTTCTCATCTCTTTTGCAATATGGGCTGCCTTGGTAGGTTCACACATGGTGCGGATATTCCATGTCCCCATCTTTACTTTCGCTTTCGTCGAGAGAAGATAAATCGACCGACTGACTTCCCGAAGGCTTCCACTAGCCGACGTCATTTCGTCTCTCCGGTTTCAGAGAGGAATGAGTTTCTTTTTCTGTTTTATATTTTCTTTGTGCTTAGAAGTTTGTTTAGCGGTTGGATTGATTTTACGGGTTAGGGTTGCTAGCCGTATGCCTAAGCTTCCCTCTTTATCCGGGCTTAGGACCGGCTAGTAACTAGTGAACTAGTTAACCAGGCGAGGTTAGAGAACATGATATTCACCATAAATGAATGAGGTACACAACGCACTTTCATAATTCGATAAGAAATTTTCGATTGCGTTGGAAGGCAACAAAGATGTAAGGTGACCGAAATTGATGCTATTGGACGAAGCTGTTAAGACTACCCAAAGGTTAATTATGTATGCAATGAGAGAATGGAGATTCTGGAGAAGACAGCAGAAACAGGAAAAGGTTTTACACAACGTTATTGCAGTCTTGAGGTTGACTTAGTGGGTAGCGGTGGAGTGCAGCACGCACGTTTCGTCCTACTTGTGAATCGTCAGCTGGATGTGCTTGCATCCAATTAAGTGACATTGTTCTCAACGGTACTGGAACCCATTGGGTCCAGGTAACGGGTCCCATATAGGTTGAAACGAGCACTTTGAACTGTACTGCTAGCTGCCAAACAAACTACAACACTAGAATAAAATTGTGCACAATCATCTCTCGTTTCTGCTGTCTTCTCCAGAATATTTGTTCTGTCATTTCATACATAATTAACCTTTGAGTAGTCTTAACAGCTTCGTCAAATAACATGAGTTTCGGTCATTCTACATCTTTACTGCCTCCTATCTCAATCGAAACATCCTTGTCGAATTATGAAAGTAATTTGTATACCTTGTTTATTTATGATAATCATTATATTGTATATAATTCAAAGCAGTTGAGGAGAATCCATGCAGACAAGCATGCCGATTCTGCTTCTAATGTTCTTGTTTTATTCAAATATTTTGAGAAATTAGAATTTGCTAGTCTATCTCTTTTATTTGTAGGTGTTATATCTTTACAAGCACCTGATATTTTATGTAAGTAATTTTTAACTTTGATGGCTATTTTCCACTGAAGGTCGCCCACCATGTGATCCACACTTGTACTGACTTCGTCACTACTCATCGTTGATCTGATCACAAGTAAAAATAGCTATTCTGTTTCTGTTGTTTAATGATTTAACTTGAGTATGTTCATTGGGTTGAGATTGAAGCAAAAATTTCACTTGTTATAATTACATAATTACGAAGCTCAGGAGCATCGTGATTACTGTCGTAAAATGAAATATTTCATTACCATAGAAAAGTAAAAGTAGCTGAACGATTTTGTGATAATCCATATCATCGCTGCATCTTTCAACTTTCAACCTGGTTGTTTTTATGATTTCTCTACTGTCAATTTTAGCTGAACTCGCTACTATCAACTTGGCATCGGTCAATGACAACTCATTAATATGGGATGCAACTGTAATAGGTACAGCTGTTTTAGCCGTTATCTTATTCTCAACACTGATATTAATAACCGTATTGGGTATAGCTTATTTCAGAACGAAGCGTTTGTACTATTCACCAGTTGATAATATAGAAGAGCCTCAAATTTCAGTCGCTAACAACTGGAGAAGAGCTCCACGTTACTTAATATACAATGAAAACTATCAGCAACCTCCTCTATATGGTCAACACGAAAAAACTCACCTGTTGGATAACATTGCTTAATAATCAAGATGTGCAGTAACTGTTATTATCTCTCAGGTAACGAGTTTATCGGAAGAAGAATCAAAAGTTTTAGTCAATGGGTCTTAGCAACAATTATTTTAATAAACCCTATTCTGTTTCGTTTATTGCTTGTTCACATTTGTAAAGGGACTCAATGATTTTTAGAAATTCAGATTGAGCTTTTAACTAGTGAAAATGCACATATTTCACATTTTTAATTTGAAGCTAGCTGTTAGACATCGGTTTTATTCCCTTCTGAATGTTTTATATTTAAATCTGATCATTCTTATCCTGATAAAATGAAATGGCCTATGATAAGTCTGCTGCATTAGATTGGAAGAGGGTTCAGGGTGACCAAACCAAGACGTGGTACTAGCCAATGAAGTCCCTGATTTCGATAATGCTATTACAAGACGAAGATTATCTGAAAAATGTGATGTAATTGCGCAATACATTTCGAACAGTCTGATCACACATTTACTTGTCAAGTCAATTTATATATGGAAATTAAAGGTCAGATATAGTGAAAATGAGAAGGTTGTGACACTAGACTCTGATTGTTAGTCTGAACCGTGTAGGGAGATGTAAACTACCTGGTTGGGGTTCCTGAAATGATAGGAATCATTGGTTAAAAACTTGGTGAGATGGCTGAAAATCGGTCCCAGTGGCACAGATGTATTCACTCCTCAATATTTGGACTAACATGTATCTTCAGATCGCTAACTGTCTCACACAACTTTGTCTAGTTTGATAACAGTCACTTTCTATCCACTTGTTCTTTGTATACTTCTGTGAAGTGTGGCAACTTGAACCGATATACTTATGAACGAGGTTCTAGCTCGTTTCTGTCTGTCTCTGTCTGCAGATCATTATGTTAGTATCCTAACAGAAGCTCACAGTCATGCAGTAGTCCCTTTCAGATATATGCTACTGCGAGCATAAGTATTTACAGATCATTTGTGTCAGTCAGCAGTAATTCTTAGTCAGATCAGAGTGATGGGCATGTGTAATTTACTGCAACTCATGTAAGCCAGTATTATATATTATACAGTTTTCATGACCACCATCTTGACGCCATTTATGATATGCAGTAGATCAGACATTTTCCCAATATCTTGATTTCTGAAGCCAACCAATGAGAAATTTCACAGGTGAGTTTCATGTGACGGTTAATTGTCGCCATGGACTGCTTAGGTCACAAATGCCTGATTTGAATGTAGTATTTTTGAAGACAGAAAATACAATAACACTTCAATTGTCATACAGGGTAAAACTATATTTAAGTTGTAAAATACATGTTTTGATAGGGGAATCGATCTGTGAGAGTGATCACTTTTGAAATCGGATGTCATCCGTGCATTGATGAAACTTATAATATGGCTACATTTAGTGCTGCTTGAACATCATCAAAATGAAACAAATAACAAGAATTAGGGGAGGTAATTTCTAATCAAGTGGTGAAAGGGTAACAACTTGTGTAATCGCTTTCTTATAAATGCACTGTAACAGCTTCTACTTTATTCTTTTCTTTATTTAAATTCTTTATACTTGTCCTGATTTACTAAATCATCTTGGCACCTTGCTTATTCGTGGTTAGTAAAGTCTGGCTGATATAGCTGAAATGATACTTGTTTCTGCAGGTTGTAGTCAAGCATCGAAGAACCGAAATACACTTAGCAACCATATGCACGTTCACGCAGTAAGCAATGAACTGCATCTGTTGTATGGGGGCTGACGATACTACTTTCCTGTCGAAGCATCGGTAAGTAGAGTCTCACTGAAACCTGTGATCCACTGGCTAGACAGATGAGCCACATCTCCATCTGCTGGTGAAATTTTTATTGATTTGAAGGCTTGTAGGGAATCTGTTGATTTCAGCTTGGTTTCATCATGGACTGAAATCAACTGGAGAAACATTAGAAACCTGGGAGCATTAGACAGCTGTTCTGTCCTAGTATCGAACTTCTCTGCAAAGCACACCCAACGCACCCACACGGATCGAACCAACGACCTCCAAGTTCCGTGGCCAGCACGCCACCATTGAGTCACTGGGTCGGAATCCAATGGTCCATATTTCCTACTTCTGTCACCTCACGACATAAAGTGACCTCTATCGATTGCTGTTGTTGAATAACTGTCCTCATGTTTGACTTGGTTGACCCCAATGGCTACGACTTCTCACTGGAACTTCGAGAGTCACCAATTACCACTAGATTAGTTCATTTCGAAGGCTTGTAGGGATTTGTTTTATCTACTTTGACACAAAGAGGGCTTCTTCTTGAATTTAATTTTGTGAAAGAACATAGTGCTAACAATTAAATTAGAATGTCGGCTGTTTGAAAGCTTAGATATGTGTATATATTGACAAATACTCACCGATGCTATTTGATTATAGTCAAATTATATCGTGAATTGACAGAAATAGGAAAATGTTAACTAGTGGACTCCATCAAACTTAGTGGCTGGGTGGTAACTTGCTTCCCACAAAACCTGATGATCCTGAATTCAATCCCTCACGAGGTCGTCAGTGCACACTTCTGAAGAGTTTCAAACTAAGACGACGTCTTCAGTAGTTCACCAACTAATTTCAGTGCCTAATGGAAAATATTTTAAAATATAATTCCATGCTATGAGGTGAGATGTGGTTATTATGTTCTACAAGAACAAAGACTTATGTTAAAAAGCTGGAGCAAGTCTCTTGGGTCAAGATGAAGTGTGCTTAGTAAGATGACTGGCAAAAACACCAAAACATATCACTTTGAATGATATCTCATTGTACAACAGACTACAGGAATATTATTACCTATACACTAATTTTAATAAAAAGTTACCATCTTTACGACAGCACACCAATTTATAAAACAGTTTTTGTAAGGAGATAGTATCAAATTTCAGTGAAGTAACTGATTCACCAAGAGAACTGATGAAGCAATACACTGTGAATGTAAATCTGAGTATATTTACACCTTTGTGCATTATACTTGATTGGTTTAGAGTGGTACAGATGAGTTGTACTGAAACTAAATAGCGTTTAAAACTCAGGTACCAACCGAAGTCTTTAAATCAGGAAACAAAATATGAATTAAAGCTAAGCGGTAAAACGTCATGGTGCACTAATACTCACCAATAAAAACCTTCCCACAATCCTGAGGAGACCAATACTGCCTCAAGGACTTGAACCTGAGCCATACAGTTTCATATTTATAGAAGTTACAAGCAAACTTTTTGTACTACTACTGGTCTGTTTAGGTATAAAGTGGTTACTCGATGACCAATGGGTGGCTGTAACCTCAAGTAGAGCCGATTAATTTTCTGAAAGACACCAGGCGAATTATTTCAAGAAACAGTTTCATTCGAGTTTACCAATCCCCAAAAATTACAAAGTTTAGATCAGCAAAGGTTGTTTCTAAGTTGACTTTGAACATATAATATAATCTAATGTCAGAATGTATGGTAGTCTGTTAAATAATTCATTTAGTTTACGTTGTCAGAAAAGATTTCTGTCAGTAAGATGACCTGCTACTGAGGAATGTAATCTGGGATGAAGTCGATCAGCAAATCACTAATCTGAAGTTTTTTGATTTCAGAAACTTAGCTATCTAAAATTTCACTCTAGTTTTCAGGTCAGCTCTAAGTTCCAAGCTGGTTTTCAGATCTATGGACGTTCCAACACAAACCTGGTGGATCGGTCTTCTCGTTAAGTAGGAAATATTCAAGCAATGCATCCGCGTGAAAACTAACACTGCGGTCAAAGCATTCAGTTAACTCCCCTTCGAACTGATCGCTTTTATCCCAGAACCTTCCCAACTATCAGACTTCAACGCAGTAACATTCGCCGGGCAATCGATTTACTGACCGTGCTCATCTCCTTAAGGGCAGACATGCGTGGGATGAGTCCCACGGAAGTTTCCACAAACTTGCAGACTTGATGGAGTTTATGTTCCTGAAAATACGTTCTTCTGTGGGGAGAGGCTCACAAGCCCATAATGCCAACAGATTCACAGTAGTGGCTCCCTTCGGGCTGCTGAAATACAACCAAGGATAGGGCTAAAGACGTAAACAATCCAGACCAAATATCACTCGCCGTCGTGACGCAAAACTACACCCATCTTCGGGAATCGCTTCAACAATAATGACTACCGGAATTAAGGAGCCGGATTTCCCTTATCTTTCTATTGCACTGCTCCCAGTGCACTGGGCGGGATCTTGATAGCTAACAAAACCATCCGTGCTTTAGAGACTCGCATCACTGATGACGTGCACATGAACCTCGTCGAAAGTGGTTTGCGACCATCAACTTGACGTTGGGACCATAAGAAGGTTTAGGGTCATGCACAACTAGGCTCGGATCGTTATCCGCTAAACAAAAACACCCTAAATTTTTACAAGCCAGTAACGCAAACCTAACATCATTTAACTGTGCTGTGCAAAGGTTCTTGACGTTGACACCTTTGCACTTAACTATTGAGCCGATCTGTGCCAGTGGTCGCAGGTTCCTAATGTTTCTTTAACTGATGTCAGCCCATGATGAATATCAACCTGAAATCAATAAATAAATCCCCACTAAGCTCAACAGTAAGTCAGCCTAGTGCTCATTCGTGAATGGTTTCCAGAGGTGGTTCCTAAAGTCCCAATGAGAAGTCGTAGCCATTGGGGTCAACCAAGTCAAACATGAGGACAGTTATTCAACAACAGCAATCGATAGAGGTCACTTTATGTCGTGAGGTGACAGAAGTAGGAAATATGGACCATTGGATTCCGACCCAGTGACTCAATGGTGGCGTGCTGGCCACGGAACTTGGAGGTCGTTGGTTCGATCCGTGTGGGTGCGTTGGGTGTGCTTTGCAGAGAAGTTCGATACTAGGACAGAACAGCTGTCTAATGCTCCCAGGTTTCTAATGTTTCTCCAGTTGATTTCAGTCCATGATGAAATCAAGCTGAAATGGAATTGCCAGCAGATGGTTTTGACAAAAATTCTGCCAGTTATCTTGCCATTTCAGTGGTAAACTTTGTTTTCAAATCAATGATGAACTAATTTGGTTTTTTCGGTATTCAGAAAACGGAACTTTACTTCACACCAAAAGAAAGTGAGTTAGGAGTGAATTGGTAATGGATAATTAGAAGGTATACACCGACTGATCTCTGGAAAGCAAGCAATCCCATGTTGTCTAGTCCTGAGTGCTGGTCAAATTCTATAGATCCTTTTGCATGTGACCATCAGAGGTTACTACTGATTGCTTCTAACCATGCGATAGAAGGCAAATTTTGTGACCTCTATTAGACCAAGGTGAAGGATACTGATACAGATCCTATTG